TAAATATTATCTCTAATAAATAACAACCAACTTTAATAATTACTAACGCTATGCTTCGGCTGTCACCTCCGCTTTGCTCAATTATACTAAGCCCTTAGGCAATAAACATTTTTATGAATTAATACTCTTATTCTAAATATTAATGCAAGTAACTCTAATAATAATTAATTAATCTTAATAACTGCTAATACTACACTTTGCTGTTATTCTAATTAATACTTATGACTTGACACCCTTACTCTAAATATTTTGGCAGATAACAACTCTAGTATATATAATTGGCATATAGATTAATTCTATTATGATTTCTTTTATAATGCTCAATTTAATAAAAGTATTAGTAAATAAGTAATTATATGCAATACATTAGATTATTCATTTTGATTATTCATTACATTAACTAATGGACATTTTTTCTGATAATGACCAGATTTTTTATACAATAAACACTTGCATTGCTGTTTTGAGCTTGTCTCACTATGATTAGCTTCTTGAACGATATTTGTGATTTCAGTTAATGCTCTTCCTTTTGATATCTCTGTAATAGCTTTAATTCTTTTTTTGCGAGAAGCACCATGAAGTTTAGTAACTTTAGGACTAGTAATCTTATCGATTAAATCATGCTATAATAGAATTATTTCACCAGTATCTTGATTCTGCTTAGAGTCATTATTCTCAGTTTTTTCAGTATCGTCTTTATGTTCATTTTGATTTGTTGCAATAAAATTTTTTAGTAGTTGAACCAATTCAGAATCTTTATTAGATTCTAAAGCAATATTAATGGCTGTCTTAGCTGTCGAAAAGGCAATTTCATATCAGTTTCTTTATGAGATATGTTTGTGATCAATTTCATTAAAATCAGATTTATTAAAATTGTGTATACTTTGAAAAACAAAAGTTACTTGAAAAGAACTATTAGAGGATGATTCTAATGCAACAAGTATGGGTGAATTTTTAATATTAAAGTCTAATTTAGTATAAATATTATTTTTATACCATCTAGCAGGTATTATGCTGATATGAAATCTTGCGAAATGCGAATAAAACATAATACGCCAGAAATGTCGACAGATTATGCTTTTAGTAATAGTTTCCATACAAGTACAAATATGAGTCCCATCAGCGAATAGTGTTACCAAATTCTCTTTACGTGAAAGTCCACCTATATAATGAATTCTCCAAGTTTCAATTATTTTTTTGGATTCTATACTACATAAAAGTGATTGTAAAGTTGCTTGTGGTTCATCAAATACGTCTTCTATAAAATTATCATTAATAGTTTCTGATTCTGGAACCTATTAAAATAAGTATAATGATATGATATATTATATAGAAGTCTACTTACAAATAATTAATATTATTAATGATAAAATCACTTTACCTTAATAGGAAATGAAACCAATGAACCTTTATAAGTAAATGACTGGGATATTTGAAATCGTTGCCATGATTGTACAGGTGGCATTAAAAACTGAACAAGAACTGCATCAACACTTGAAAAAAATTGAGATAAAATATATGAAAGACCAATAGTCATATATTGATCCTTAAGATCAATTAGCCTAGAATATTGAGAATCATCTTCGTGTCTTTTATTGATTATTCTTTTAACATCACAAAGTGTATTAGCGCTATTTAAGGCTTTTTTTATAATGCCATTAAATGATTCTACATTTTGGGTGCTTTGTACGCCAGCATTAAACTGGAATGGTGTAAAAGATCTCGTCCAACTTATCCGATTATTATATAATGCTCTAGTTATATAATTATGATATTCTGGAAATGACTTTAACATAAATTTCCACCGCTGATTAAACAATTCCACACTTATTGCATTTCGACATGAGTAGAATACCTGGCCAAAAGAATGAAAGTTTGAATCTAATTTCGTTTTAAGATGTTTAATAATATTTTGCCAAATGTAAAAAAGGCAATAAAAATGTTTCATTGTTGGAAAGACTTGAGCAGCTACATTTATTAAACCTGGCTCAAAATCTGTCCAAAATAATTTTGGAACAAGATTATTAGTCGCCTTCATTAAACATTGCAGAATCTACTTATATGTCAATGCTATCTCATCCTCTACTAATGTATTCACTATATTTCGAAACCTTCCATAATTGTCTCTTATCATAAACACACTCAAATATATGTTGTATTTATTAATTTTATATGTATTATCATTTAATACAACATCATGAAATTGCTGATACAGATCTTGCTGGGATGGTGATATCCAAAAGACATCTGACAAATGACATTCATTACCACTATGTCGAACAAACACTTTCCAGTTTGCATCTTAACTTTTTTTTTCAAGAAGAGCATTAAGAAATAAACCTGAATCAGAACTCATTTCATTGTTACTATTACAGTTTTTATAAATCACATTATAAACATCTTGTTTATGAAAAACATGATGTGGGTATTTTTTTTTAAATATCTTTAACTGTGTGATTAGCGCTACTTTACAGCTAGTAAAAAACTTTAATTCTTGAATCATTTTATCATTAAACTGATAATATCGAAGAATTATATCAGCTACTTGATTAGGGTTTAATTTATGGCTGTGTTTGTCTTCCAATGTTGTACATGTTATTTGTTTAGTTGTTTTTGAAAAGGTAAAATTACAATACTATTCACAACTGGTTTTCATGTTACTATGCAAACGCTGCAAATTCTGATCATTGATTTTTTTGGCTTTATATTTTCTACTTGATAAGTAATGAAAAGACTTGCGATAAGTAATAGAAGGATTGTCTGAGTCTTTATCATTGCGAAAAACTTGAAATCCAAAACCTCATTCAAGACAATATTGACGTATAAATGTATCAACAGATGACCAGTCATCAAAAGCATCCTCTACACGAAGATTGTATTGGTAAGTTGAGATAGATATATCAGAATAGTTGCTAAAACAATCTAAAAAAAATATAAAATGTTAGTATTAAGTAAAATTATGACTTGTTAAAAAATAAACTAGCCAGAAATGATCACAAATTGCTGATCACAAGATATAAGTAACAAAAACCGAACTCGGTTTTTGTTACTTATTTGTGACTAGCATATTAAAGATCATTCTAGTGAAAAATATAGCAAATATTACCAGAGGTCTGAATCCAAGTGTTGCTAATATTGAAATCATTCTGATCATCGTCTGATACTAAAAAATAGTCATTAGCATCATTAACGGCATTGCTCACAGCGGTATTTACAGCATTATTCACAACATTGTTCATGGCATTGTTCACATTATTGTTTACGATATTCATATTCATAGTATCATCTAAAACATTGCTTGTGGCATCGCTTGTGATATCGCTTGTAGCATCGCTAGTAACATCGCTTGTGGTATCATTCATGGCATCGTTCGTGTTATCATTTGTTATGTTATTCGTAATATCATTTGTGGTATCATTCGTTACATAGTTTAGTACAATATCTTGCTCATTATTTAAACCTTTTTCATAGGCAAAACCTAACCGCATATTGGTATGAGAATCAACCTTGGAAGTGCTTTCAGGTGAAGTGTATACTAGCATGTGCATTGTTCGTTCTTATAAACTAAAGGTAGTAAAAAAAAAAAAAAGGTATATCTGTTTAAAATTTATTTGACTATAACAATGAGTTGAGCAATTAAAACTTTCGGTGATTCCAAATAGAATAAAAGTTCAGACTTATACGAATTCATAATTAAAACAGTAAAAAATCTCTAAAAAGCATAAGTATGAAATGCTCGAAATTTAAAGCCTTACAATATAATTTGCTAAGATGTTTAGTTAAGATGAGCTCCAAAAAAAGTCTGCATAGTGTTCTTGTTAATGCATTCGTTAATGTTCTTCCAATACTCCTGCAAAATGCATTTAACAATACATTCCCTACCTTTGTCTAAGTTAATATTACTAAGATTTAAAGAGATAGATCAGTTCTCACTTCTTGTTTTTTAAGTAGTAACGTAGGTAAATTTTGTTTCTTCTTTGCAGTTGTATTAAGTTCGTCTATTTGACATTTGAGATTATATAGTAATGCATGATTGCATAATATGTAGTATAATGTAATTACGTAACCAGTGAATTTCACCAAAGGTTAAATTTAAATAATTTCATTTATTTTAACTAATATAAATTTTTATTAGGATGGAAAGCTAATCGTGCTTAACATTGATAATTTTCATAATATATATAAGTACTGCCATAGTGATTCAACTTTAATACATTCAATTCTTCATTTTGTTACAGTATTGCTTAAAGCTCTATAAGATATAGCATCAATTCCGAATATTGGGAATAAAAGTATTCATAATGAAAGAGGTATTGATGCAACTATTATTATTAGAAATGCTCACATATATTTTTTTCCCCATCTATAGCATAGTTATATGGTGCGAAGATTGACATTTAGTGATTCGATATCTTTATCTGAGATATACAAAGAATAGATTGAACATCTTTTAGTTCATAGCTATAATATTAAAATCGAACAGCGTAAAGAAGACCGAAGCATAGACAATACCAAACTTGTTGAACTAAAAGTAGAACAGCTCTATAATATAGAGGAATATGTAGATGCTCTTCAAAGCTTGATAAATTTTGATGCTTCTGGTATACTGGAACAGGTTCTTTATATTGTGCTAATGATTGGGCCTTTACATGTATCCTTGAATAGTCATGAATCTGTATTTCTTGTCAATTATACTTTTTTGATAAGCTTTTCTATGATATTTATAGAAGCAGGAAGGTATTAGCTAAAAAGCCAAAGCCTTACAAAATAAATCTTTTATTAGAATTAGTGTTTAAGGGCTGGTCTCAAATCCGTTTGATTGTTCTACAGAAGTTTGAGCAGGTAAAAGATCCAGAAGCTAGATATTTGATTAACCTTCTGGATAATTTTATTCTATTGGTTTTAGACTTTTATCCTGTAATCTTTTATAGTAGAAATTGGCCAGCTTATCAAGAAGCTATGTTTCATATTTGGAGCATTTTATTAATATCAGCGAAAAATTACAATAAGTTGCCACTAGTTTTTTTAAGCGATGTGTTTTACTAGAATAGCATTAATCATTCTATTTCATAGATATTTACTAACTCTCTTTATGTATTTAATGATTATTATGTAGAGAATTTTCATAGTTCGATTAGACATTGAGTACAACTATCTAACACTGCGGAGCAAATCATTTGGGAAGCACAGATAATAGATCTGATGCATAATAATAACACTTTTGCTGAAGCTTTTTCCGAGGATCACAATATTAGATATTCGGCGAGGCAACTAGAATTTTTTGAAAAGCGAACGGCAGTGTTTTTTACTAAACCTTTTACAAATGTTTATAAAAGTATAGGTCAGATAGTTTCAATAGGTTTAAAATATCGATTTGCAACATTAGAAGATGATATAAACGTTAAAGCTTTGCCAATGGCCTGAAATACCACATATCCTCTACAAATTGATAAATATTGTGATTTGAACAATTGTACCAGAACTTGTGAGGTAGAATTGATACTTGTTTGTGGCCATTCTTATCACTTTAAATGTTTATTATTTAGGTTGAGCAAGATAGTCCATACAATACTTATATTGACTGCGAGCAGAATCAAAAGCAACTATAGAAGTTTTGATAATAGTGTGAGGTCGGCTGATACAATAATAGTTAAAGAGGGAAAAGAACAGAATGTTACAGAAACTACTAAGAAAACTGGTACTGCCGAAGTTGATAATGTAATTTTAAATAGTAATATAGATCAGTTCTTTAATTCGGCTATGGATAATTTCACAGCAGCTTAATTATAAATTTGTAAATTTGGCATACTGTATAATATTGCTTTATTTTTTATTAAATAAAAAGTTCAATTTAATTACAATTTAATTA